ACCACCTCTGATGCTTCAGAACATGCCTCTCAGTCTGTTCCAATGGTGACAACATCCACAGGCACTTTGTCCACGACAAATGAAACAGCCACAGGTGACGATGCAGATGAAGTGTTTGTAGAGGCAGAGTCAGAAGGGTATGATTTTTCTTTGGTTTTGTTTGCTGTAGGTTCATTATGTCGTCATAATTGTTTGCTTTAGCAAGAAGATACATGTTTTCAGTGGTTTCTGAACCCCATGGAAAAGCCAGGACATATATTTGGAAAAGCTGCTTTGCAATCATAACATTATCAGCTTCAAAATTGGGGTCACTGTGAGAGGGGGCTTCAAGAACCATTATTGAGGGCTGGAGAGGTAGTTCAGTGGTTAAGAGCACTGACTGCTCTTCCAGATGGGTCCAGGTTCAATTCCCAGCATCCATATGGCAGCTCACAACTGTCCTATTCCAGGCAATCCAACACCCTCACATAGACATACATGTCAATGTCAAAACACCAGTATACATTAAATAAAAATTTAAAAAAAAAAACATTATTGAAAACTTTTTTTTTTATTCTAAGGAAAGAATTTGCTAGCAGGAGCCCATGGGTAGTAGTTTTGGAGTGCTAAGTCTTAAACTGGAATCTTAATTCTTCTAAAATGGGAAATTTGTACTGTTTAGTAGTCAGAAACATTGCTAGTATAACACAGATTTTCTACTTAAGAGTTCAAGGACTGGATTTTATTTGACAACACTCCATAAGCCAGGTCTGCTATAATAATAGGTAAAAAGCCGGTCTGTCTGTCTATGTTTTTTAACGTTGGTACTTAATTTCAAGGAGATTACCAGTCCCACTGAGAACACTAGCTGTTACCAACTCTACATCTTTTCAGGTCGCTTTACATTTGTCCTTCTCAACCACACAGTATTCCTAAAATGTATCACTTCCCATCATAGAAATTAAGTTCAGAGCATATTAACAGTAATTGGCTTAGACTGTCCTACTGATAACCAGCTGAAACCTTAATTTCAGCACCAAGCTATTTAACCTCCCCATGTTGCAACCTCAGGTGTGTTAGGTAAGTTGTTGCTAGTAACTGTACTAATATTTGCAGATTATAAAAAAAAAAAAAAAGAAAAGAAAAGAAAAAAAGATTAGGCCAGATTCAGGTCTTTTGCTATCTACTCTCATGTGCTTCTTAAAGGGAGACAAACGAAAATACAGGCACTGAAGTAGGAACTCTCATACCCACAGCTTGTTAGACCTGTGTTAGTCCTCACATTGACTTACTGATCTGCTGGAACTAGTTGCGAATAACTCTTGCCTTCCTAGAATATTGTTGGGGAGTTTATCAAGCCTACTATATTTTCTGTGAGTTTTAAGAACATAAACATGCTTCTTAAATAGAAAAGAAGGGTTGCTGAAACAGTAGGGGGAAAAGTAAAATTGGAGAATATCCTAATAAGAAAGGAGTGAAAGGAAAACAGCACATCTCCACCCCCTGCTTTGTCTTCTGCTAAAACAAACAAACAAAAAACTTGGCAGCATATAGCCAAGTCTAATTCTTAGTTAAAACTAGAACTCTGGAACTAGTTACAAAATAAATCAAAAAGAACTTTGGAATATTTAGGATATAACCTAGATTCAGTTTTACATTTTCTGATCTTTTTTTTTTTTTTCTTAGTATTAGTTCAGAGGCAGGCCTAGACATTGATAGCCAGCAGGAAGAGGAGCCTGTCCAAGCATCTGATGAATCAGATCTTCCTTCGACCAGCCAGGATCCTCCTTCTAGCTCCTCTGCAGGTAAGTACTGTTCCCATGAAGCTTGTATTCATTGCCCTTGCCTGCAGAGATACTAAATAGACAGCTCTCGTGTTCAACTCCTGATGTTTAAAACACATTACTTCCAGTGGAAATTTTATCATTGAGAGGAACTTGGTTTGTACTGCATTACCATTGCACAGATATTCTGGCATTGATAATCAGAGACATGAAGGAGGTGGTCCACACCAATGGGGTCTGCACAGTTCCTGTAAAATATTTGGATCTTTTAAATGTGCTACTTATATTCTGGTTTCTTCTCAGATCATGTGAATTGTTCACCTTTTTAAAGGTGCTAATTAAGTTGGAAGAGATGCTTGTGAACTGAGAAGGAATCTAAGGATTCCTTCTGTTTGAGCAGATTTGATCTATAGGGTTGAAAGATGGGACTCTATTTCAAAAACCATCTTTGAAATTCACTAATTTAAAGAGTCATCTTTTAATTTTTTAATTTAATTTTGAAAAAATATTATGTCTTTTCTAAAGTAAAAGTTACTTCTACAGGATTTGGGGGTTTTTTTTGTTTGGTTTTTTGTTTTTGTTTGTTGTTTATTTTGTTTTGGTAACAGCATCTATTGAGTATTGGCTGTTCTAAGCCTTTTACATATATTACTTGATTCTCACAATAACACAATTTGATAGTGATCCATTCTCATATTGTAAATATGAGGACTAAAGAAAGCATAGGAAGGTTAAGTTATTTCTCAAGGTCATATAACTTTATGCTAGGCTTTTTATCACAGAATGTATAGGCAGTTCACCTACAGTTTTGAGGAAATGCAGTACTCACATCCACTCTCTTATTTCTCTATGTTATTTGAAATTTCTGTAGAACATTCATATGTTGAACACGACTTTCTTCATTATATTTTACAGACACATAACTTTGCTGTCCCAAAATATCATCTTATTCCTTTTAATTGCTTTTCTATGACATGTCAGCCAGTTGGCCAACATCTCTAAGTTCAACTCCCATGCCCATATTTCAGCAGCTAGCTACTTTACATACCCACATTCCCTACTGAACCTTAAAGTCAGAACTGCAAATAATATATGTAAATTGTAATTCTTAGCTTTATGTAAAAAGGATCGGAAATTATAGGTATAATAATTATTAGCCCTGTTAATCGTCTCTGAGAATTGTTTTTCCTCTGTAGTAGAATTAACACTAGTTACCAAACTACCCCTTTTGTGAGAAAATGTGATTGGTTGTTCCTAGAAAATAGAATGTCTTTACATTAATTTTATTATGGGTATCACTGTGCCCCTCTGCCTGACTGGGTTCTCATTCAGAAAATTTGAATGTTTAACATAGCAGGGAATTTGACAGACTGTGTGGCCAAGAAAATGACATTTGGAAAGGTATCAAAGCTATGTGGTTATATGAAGTCCCATAAGCCAATAGGTTATTTGATACATTCAAAGTCAGAAGGAGATCATTGTGACTTGAGCAGAATGAGGATTGATATTGAGGAACATAAGAGAGAGATGATGAAGAAAAGTCAAGTAGATCTTCATAATTGCTTTGAGTTTCATGGAGATAGAACACAATTGAAATTCTCCACATAGATAAATGACATGGCAGTTGATTTGGCCATGGTGTATAAGAGAGAATAAAATTTAATTATGATCAGAAGTAGCCAAATTTGGAAGCTGTTTCAATGCATAATAAAGACAATGACTAGGACAGAATACACATATGTGGTTATGGCAAGTTTACTTAAATCTGAGCTGACAGAATTTGCTAATGACTACTAGGTTTGACGTATTAGACAAAGCTATTATTCAGATATGTTACAATCTGACTTCTCAGGGACCTGATTCTTTGTTGCCACAATATTTCCTTGTCCCAACAATTAATTGAATGATTGAATAAATAAATTCAAATGATTTTTTTTCTCTTAAGTTTTTGAGATGTTTTTATTGTAACATTTTTGTTTTTGTTTTGTTTTTTGTAAGCCTGTGTAATTGTATAGTTCCCTTCATTCTTAAGAAGCAAACTTGAGCCCAGCGAGGTGGCACACACCTGTTATCCCAGCACTCAGCTAGGCAGAGGCAGGCGTATCGCTGTGAGTTCTAGGCCAGCTAGGTCTAGAAAGCAGGTCTAGGACAGCCAAGGCTACAAAGGCTACACAAAGAAACTCTATCTTGAAAAACAAAACAAAGAAAAACAAAAAACAAAAAAGAAGCAAACTTGAATATTGAAAACAAATGACATATCTGTATTTGTCTGTGTGTTATTGTAGCTGTTTTCTTGGTTGCTTAACTTGCTTTCCTTATGTCATAACATTTTCTATAGATACTAGTAGTAGTCAGCCGAAGCCTTTCAGACGAGTAAGACTTCAAACAACATTGAGACAAGGTGTTCGTGGTCGTCAGTTTAACAGACAGAGAGGTAAGTGTTTGACTTGCTGTATACTTGATACATGGGATAATAGCATCTGCATTAAGTTTCTAAAGTGTCATATAAAGATTGATTAAGTATCAGTTATAAGGATTGATTCATAACTGCATGTTGATCATGTGATACTTTGCCAACTAGAAAGCTTCTTTTAGGTGGTTCATTTATCATAGTTAACAAAATGAATAGTTAACAATGGTATCTTTTATTTCATTAGATCCAAAGAAAAATTTGGAAAATCTAAAGTGTTAGCATGCTATGTATTCGTTGTAGTAGCTCTACCTGTAATCTTACAATGTTAGGCATACTTTTTTTATGCAATGAAAGTTTTGTGACTATTGTAGCTAGTAAAGACATAGAAGATTTTAGTATTTTCATGTTCTCATATAACTCATTAGAGTGTAGTAACATTATAAAACTAGTAACCCATTTATAATAATTGCCAGTCAACATGGGCCTTTTCTTTTTCTTTTTCTTTGTTTTTTTCAAGACAAGGTTTCTTTGTTTAGCCTAGGCTGTGTTGAACTCACTTTGTAGACCAAGTTGGCCTCAAATTTACAGAGATCCTCCAGCCTCTGCTTCCCCAAGTGCTGGGATTAAAGGCATGTGTCATCACGCCTGGCTGGGGAGTATCTTTTAATACCCATAATATCTTAAGTATTTCTACTGAACATGAATGATTACCTTTTTTTTTTTTAAATCTTTTTCTACAGGTATAAGCCACGCAATGGGAGGAAGAGGAGGAATAAATAGAGGGAATATTAATTAAATGATCTGTAAACTGTAACACCTGTGAATAAGATTGGCAAATCTGTTTTAATATAATAATTGTCAAGTTGAGAAGTGTTTTGTATTTAAATAGGTATGCTCATTTCAACATTCTTTATTAATAAAATGTATTTCAATGTCAAGATTTATCAGTGTTTTCTTCATTTCATTTTGATGACTCTTCTTTGCCCATCAGTCTAAGGACAGTTGTACCAGATTTTGGAGAGGGTCTGCCCAGAACGAGTAGTAATTGCTCTTGCTGTTCTAGTAGGCACATCGATGTTATAGTATTGATCTAAATGGAAGAGAAATCACCTTCTTAATTAAAAAGAAAGTAAGACACTTAAGATTGTAATGAGTACTATATTCAAAGTCAGTGTATTGATTCAGTATCAATTTTATTAGCTTTCTGACAAAAAGTAATTTGAGTGATAGAACTCTCTTTCAGTATCTTTCAAGTTATGTTAGGTTCAACTCTCCTTTTTGAAATATGTAGTTAAAGAATCAGTTAATCTTAAAGATGTTTCATTTGGCTTTCACCATTTTTGAAATATACTTCTTGGGTATTCATATTATAGAATCATGGTCAGAATAAATTAGATAACTGGTCTTTCTAAAGATAAGTATCCTGGGTAATAAACTTTACTTAATCTAGGTTCCATGAACACCTTGTAGACTGTGATATACGTGACATCTTAAGTTTTGCTTGTGATAAAAATAAGGTACTATTTCTCCATCCAAGTTTTCTCCTGCTATCCTGATAGTACAGTACTGAACTGCACTCCTTTCCAGTTAAGTGCAGCACTCTCTCCCTTCACATTGGGTAAGCACTGAAGTTCAGTTTCTTACCTCCAATCATTATTATACACTTGCTGGCTCCATCTAAATTACATTTGTGCTTCCACAGTGAGATCAGCTGGGAAGTTCATGAAAAATGTCCAATTAACTTACCTTTAGAAAAGGCATAGTAATCATAGCCGTCAGGTTTTCTAATGTTAGGCAGTGTTATTGCTGAAGTAACAACGCTTGGAAACCCTCTCCACATTGTGCTCACTTTGACTTCATTGTGGAGGAAACCTGCAGGCAGAATAAAAGATTTGAAAGAGATCACAACCTTAGAGCTACACAAACCCAGATTTCGAGTTTGTTCTCTGCTATAACATTAACAGCTCACTTTTAGGACTGTCTCGAGGGTTACATATTTGTATACAATACAGTGGTTGGTTGTTTGCTCTAATTAACGGACTTAAACAAGCTACTTTGTTTACCCACAAAGCAAAGTAAAGAGTTGGTCTTTGGTTATTACTCAGGCAAATGGATTTGTTTGACATCAAGAATCTTAAATTGTTAGTGCTTTTGGCCAGTATTTATATTTACTAAGGCTGACTTCTTAAATTATTAATCTCCTTCATGATCAGAGTTCTTGACATAGTGAAAACTTTACCCTTATCTTGGTAAGTGACTCTGATGGGCGTTGGGTAATGGATTCTGATGGTGTGTGTCTGGAAAGGTCCAACAGCACGTTCAAAGCGGCGCCGCCTGACCTGCGCTGCCTCCCCATACACTGAGTAGTTGATAGCAGGCCTTCTTCCAGTGCACTTTCTCGTGGGCTCTTGTTTGTAAGTGTACTGCTGGATGTTGCCACCTATTATATATTCGGAAAATCACATAGCAAGCAAAAGCTCATGTTAGTCCACACAGAAAGGAATGAGTTAGGATTGCCTTTGCAATCTTGGTTGTTTTTCACATACACACACACATATAATTTAATGCTGTTGTTAATGCTATTCTTGAAATATAGTAATAACTTAAGACCTGAAATACGTGTTGAACAAATGAATCCAATAAATTGCCTAGCAGAAAGTCAATGATAGCATTCTTTATATCTGATGTCCTATGGTTCACATTGCAGGAAGTCTAAATACTTCTTACTACCTGCAATATTTTTTCATTAAAGCTATTTTATTCTGGCCATTAACAGTACTTTTTGATAGTAAGCCTAGCAATAAAATATCAAAGAGTTCTTAAAGAGTGGTGTTATACCTGGGCATGGTGGCCTGTAATCCTGGCACTCAGAGAGATAGAAGTAGGCAGATCTCTGTGAGTTCGAGGCCAGACTAGTCTACAAATTGAGGCCAGGACAGCCAAGGGCACACAGAGAAACCCTGTCTCGAAAAACCAAAAGAAGTAGTGTCGTGTTGACAGCTATGTAATACATACCTCTCTTGAAGAAGTACACAGATTCAGGCCTGTCCTTGTACTTGGCTATTGAAAGAGCTGCCACTATCTTCCCTGTTAGTCCTCCAAAGCCTTTGACAATTTGTTTAGGATACCCAGCATCTTGGACATCATTGGTGAATCGCCAGTACTGAGAGTCCTGGTTGTTTAATAGAGAAAATGATGTTAAAGGTTTTGTAGGCATGATTCTGGAATTTATCTGAGGAGGTTTAAGTGTAGGAATAACATGGTAACTTGTTTGGATTTGAATAAGCAAATCATAAATAGCATCAGATTGTTATTTTTGAGAAGACTCATTTCTGAGATGAAGGTTAAAATGATGTTATGACAAGGTGCGACTGCATTTTTTTTCTAAGCAATATTTGTGTTACCTTAAAGAAAAAAGTTTTTCCTTCACAGTTGCATCTAGTGAAGACAGTGTCAATAGGGGATGGAATACCCCAGACTTCTGTAATTCTGCGGGGTGGAGATGGTGGTCTGAAAGGATTCAGCATCCAAAAATAATGACCTAAAAAAGAGACATCGATCTTTAGTCCAAATACTAAAACATGTCTCCACAAAAAAAAGAATATGAAAAATAATGATTATAAGGAAAAATGGATTCAATATGTTAAGAAGTGCCTGGAAGAAGGAGGACTGGCTAAAATGCTCAATCCCCATTCAGAAAGGCAAAGAGGATGGACATCAGAAGAGGAAGAAAACGAAACAAGCCAGGAGCCTACCACAGAGGGCCTCTGAAAGGCTCTACCCTGCAGACTATCAAAGCAGATGCTGAGACTTATAGCCAAACTTTGGGCAGAGTGCAGGGAATCTTATGAAAGAAGGGGGAGATAGAACTGGAGGGAACAGGAGCTCCACAAGGAGAAAACAGAACCAAAAAATCTGGGCCCAGGGTCTTTTCTGTGACTGAAACTCCAACCAAGGACCACTCATGGAGATAACCTAGAACGCCTGCACAGATGTAGCCCAAGACAGTGTGTCCAAGTGGGTTCCATAGTAATAGGAACAGGGACTGTCTCTGACATGAACTGATTGGCCTGCTCTTTGATCATCTCCCCCAGAGGGGGAAGCAGCCTTACCAGGCCACAGAGGAAGACAGTGCAGCCACTCCTAATGAGACCTGATAGACTAGGATCAGAAGGAAGGAGAGGGGGACCTCCCCTGTCAGTGGACTTGGGGAGGGGTATGGGTGGAGTACGGAGAGGGAGGGAGCTACAGGGGGGATACAAAGTGAATAAACTGTAATTAATAAAAATTAAAAAATTAAGGAAGTGCCTGGAAGTAGAGCTAGGTTAAAAAGAGAAAATTTGTGTATTCCTAAGATATTTCTCAGATTCAAAATTTAGTAAAAGATTCTGAGAATTTTAGTTTCTACTTTTAAAATTAACTTTTGAGGTGGTTTTGAAACAATTTGGACACCAGGCTCACCTTGAACTCTGAGAGATCCATCTGCCTCTACCTCCTAGGTGCTGGGATTAAGAGTGTGCTACAATGCCCACCTTGATTTTAATTTGATTTGATTTTTTTAATTTATATGTATGTGTGGGCACTCGCAGGGTACATTTGGAGGTCACGGGACAACTTATGGGAGTTGGGTTTTCTATCACCATGTAGGTCTCAGAGATAATAGAGGTCATTGGGCTTGACAGCACGTACCACACTCTATTGGGCCATCTCACCAGCTCCTTTTCTACTTTCTCTAAAAAAATCTTTTTGCCTTTGTAATTTATAGCTCTCTGGGTTTCCGTGTTGTTACTTTATAGAATTAGAGTTATAACTTAATGACTACTAAAATCTCTTGAACCTTTAGTCTATATAATTTGTTTTTGTTTGTACTTAATCCATGTTCTAAGAAGACTAAAATATCAGAAAGTCTATGGAAAATTATTTAATTCTCAGTTACTCTCGAACATAAAAATGTACAACTTTTCTTACCTCATAATGGAGGCATAATTTTCTAAGAAAATTGTTCAGGGAATACATGTCTGTGTCATTTCATTTAATTTGAAATTGAAACGTTGAAATCCTATTACCACACACAGGCACACACGCACATAGAAACCTTCAGTAATACGTCCAAGTTATTTCTTGTATTTATGTGCCTAAATTAATCAATCTAAGAATATTCCTATTTACTGTAGAATCATGAGTCAGTTTCCATTTCAAAAGTACAGTTCAGGTAGCACCCTTGTGACTTTTTTCTCAGGAATGCCAACACAAAACAAAAAGCAGCTGGTATATATATTTATAGCTCACCTCGAAATGCAACTAATGTCCCATTGCGCAAAGTAGTCAGTCCATCCACTGGCTTACCATTGCATAAATTGGTCTCATCTAAAACAAATCAACAAAAAATTAATGTAGAACAGGATGAGGAAAGCATCTTGTTCTTTTCAAGTCCTTACAGGATTCTGTTTTCTGTTTACCCTTCTAAGATCTAGTAAGGTGAAAAAGAAGTGATAATATTCCATAGTTGCTTTTACCTAACATAATACTATACAGGAGCATTACATAAAAGCAAGTGGACTCCTTAGTAAGGGGAACAGGGGCTATCTCTGACATAAACTCAGTGGTTGGCTCTTTGATCACATCCCGCTGAGTGGGGAGCAGCCTTACCAGGCCACAGAGGAAGACAATGCAGCCAGTTCTGTTGAGACCTAATAGGCTAGGGTCAGATGGAAGGGGAGGAGGACCTCCCCTATCAGTGGACTGGGGAAGGGGCAGGGAAGAGAAGAGGGAGGAAGGGAGGAGCTGATGGAGGGGACTAGCTGGGATACAAAGTGAATAAACTAATAAAAAAAATTTTTTTAAAGCAATAGTGAGCTGTAAGAGACCAACTTACCTTGATCTTTGTGCACATGAAGTATTTATTAGACATTTGAACTGACGTTTTCAATCACTGCCCTTTATGGTTGATTGAGAACATGAAATTGTTTTTTTTCTTTGCATCATGCTCTCTAAAGGGTGATGTCATACCTAAATTATTTTGACATTCAGTATCCCATTTCTGCTTCTAACAGACATGTCTGGACTTGGCCAACACTAAATTTCTGATGCTAATTACTATTCAGTTTCCTGGATACTAAATGTACTCTTACTTTATACACATGTAGGAAAGCTATACTCAAACTGGATACATTCACGAGTTAGGATTGCAGATAATGAGTATCAGTAGAGAGATATTAAAGCAGGAAAGTAACTGATTCTCAGTACCTGAGAGCATGGGATTGGTGTTGCTGCCATGGTTGAATGCCCCGGGGAAGTAATCAGTGCCTGGAATAACAATGGGGGTCAGCACAGGAGGCCTGGGGATCATGAGAGGTTTTTCTCCTTCACCTCCGTCCGCATCTTCTTGATCTGGATTTACTTCAGCTGTTTCTGAGTTTGGAGTTTGTTTAGGGCTGGTGGTGGTTGGCAGCACAACTTCTAGAGGGGTGGGATTCAATTCAGGCTTTGTTGAAGTCGTCTTTAGAGGAGAGGGTGTAGTTTTGGGTTTTCTCACTTTTGGTGTCTTTGGCTTTTTGGTAGAGGTGGGCTTCTTGGGTGCTTTGGTTGGCTTTTTGGTAGGCATGGGCTTTTTGGGTGCCTTGGTTGGTTTCTGTGGTTTCACAGTCGTCTTAGAATCATCAGAATTTTCTGATGCAGTAGTTGTCTCTTGAGGTTTGTTCAGAGTCTCTTCCGTTGGAGCAGTTTCTTTGGGTGCGATAGTTGTTGCTTTCAGAGTAGTACTTTTGGGTGATGTAGTCTCTTGTGTTGTAGGTGTTATTTGTGTGGTACTTGCTTTTGATTCAGTAGTCTTTTCTGGTATGACTGTTGTCTCTGCTGTCCTCTTAGGGGCAACAGTTGTAGTTTGGGGTGTATCTTTTTTGGTTGTCTTCACATTAGCTTTTGTAGTCATCTCAGGTTTGCTTCCATCAGGAGTCTTGGTTGTTGGTACAGTGGGCTCCTTGGGGTTGTTTTCAAGAGCCTTTGGTGTGAGTGCTTCAGCAAACTCAGGAGTTACTTCAGCAGGGGTCTTGGGGGTGGTGGGTTCAGGCTCCTTGGTGATGGGCTCAGGCTTCTTGGGGGTGGTGGGCGCAGGCTCCTTGGGGGTGGTGGGTTCAGGCTCCTTGGTGGTGGGCTCAGGCTTCTTGGGGGTGGGTTCAGGCTCCTTGGGAGTGGTAGGTTCAGGCTTCTTGGGGGTAGTGGGTTCAGGCTCCTTGGGGGTGGATTCAGGCTCCTTTGGGGTGGTGGGTTCAGGCTCCTTGGGGGTGGGTTTAGGCTCCTTTGGGGTGGTAGGTTCAGGCTTCTTGGGGGTGGTAGGTTCAGGCTTCTTGGGGGTGGTGGGTTCAGGCTCCTTGGGGGTGGGTTCAGGCTCCTTTGGGGTGGTGGGTTCAGGCTTCTTGGGAGTGGTGGGTTCAGGCTCCTTGGGGGTGGTAGGTTCAGGCTTCTTGGGGGCGGTGGGTTCAGGCTCCTTGGGGGTGGTAGGTTCAGGCTTCTTGGTGGTGGGTTCAGGCTTCTTGGTGGTAGGAGCTGTCTCCTTGGGGGTGGTAGGTTCAGGCTCCTTAGGGGTGGTGGGTTCAGGCTCCTTGGTGGTGGGTTCAGGCTTCTTGGTGGTAGGTTCAGGCTTCTTGGTGGTGGTGGGTTCAGGCTTCTTGGTGGTAGGAGCTGGCTCCTTGGGGGTGGTGGGTTCAGGTTTCTTGGTGGTGGTAGGAGCTGGTTCTTTGGTTGTTGTTACAGGCTTTTTGGTGGTTGTGGGAGCTGAGTTCTTAGGGATGCTAGGTGTAGGAACATCAGATGTAGGCACAACATCTTTAGCAGATGTTTTCTCTGCACTTCGTGTCTCTTTAGTTGAAGTAGTCTTCTCTTTTTTACTGGCAGAATTCTGTTTATTTGTTGCGGTACTCTCCTTCGTTTCTACTGTTGTCTCTTTATTGGAAGCTGAAGATGCCTCTTTGGATGTCTCAGAATTGGGTGCAAGGCTGGGTTTAGGACCTACTGGTTTTGCTGCTATAGTCTTGGGAGATGTGGTAACCTTATTGTGTGGAGTAGGAGTATCAGGAGTTGGGGTGAGCTTGGACTCAGCATTATCCAGTCCACTTCCAGCTTCATCTACAACTGGTGGTTCTGAATTAGGATCCTTTTTAGGGGTGTTTTTCTTGTTATCTTTTACTAGAGAAAAAATAAAATCTTGTTATTTTGAATACTTTTTTTCGTTTAATAGTAATATAAAGATCATAGCCATATCATTGACTAGCAATGTCTCTAGGCAAGTTGCTAACCTTTTAATATGTGTGTTAATGTATGCTAAAATTATAAATTTTCTGTCTTTGTAGGTTTTTTAATTGTGTAAACAGGATAATGGATGAAAAACACAAATGAAAACCTAAACATAAATACATGAAAGACAGCAGCAGCTTGAAGTCAAACAAAATGATCAATAGTATGAATGTAAGGCCATGTTAATGTTCTTTCCCCTTCACATGGCCCACACATGCTACCAGCCCCCATTCCAGAGTGTTCAAGGAACCTAGAAACTTGATTCCAACCTCTTGTAGTTTCTTTACACTAACTTCTACAAAGTCTTCTACAACTGACTGAGGATTTGGTTCCAGTTTTTCCAAAGGTTTCTGCTGAGGCTAGTTGCCATACATAGGGCTATCAACTGCTCCTTTTTAACTAAACACCTAAATTCCACAGTTCCAAAGGACATAGGCCATTAGGATACCAGAGCAATAGATTCTACTTAAGATTGGCCACAGCAATTACCCCTTAGGAGTGCTACTAAGCCCAAAGAGCATTTCATTGCTGTGAGTTCTTTTTAGCAAACTTGTATTGCACTTCCACTGTGAACAGAATTCTTGGAATGACTTGAAGTTAGACTATCTGCCTATTAGGCTTGAGATGGTTTCAGAGAAACTACTGCTACCCAGGGATACGTCCCTCAAAATTCCAGTACTTAGTAGAAAAAGAATGTATTTTAGAATTTCAGGAAATACAAAGAACAAATCAGATAGAATCTCTTTTCAGGAAATAGTAGACTTCTTTAATTTGCAGAGAAAATTGAGATAGATATGATTTAAAAATAGGAAAAATAATAAAGATCTATATAACAGGAATGGTAATGTTGCCTTTCCATGGAGGTTTAAGAGAATGTCAAAAACTAATGTTAGGAAAATACTATGTAAGTTTTTGTTAAATAAAATCATAGAAGGGAAAACAAAAGCTGGGGGCAAAGAGGAAAGGGAAGGAAAGACAGCAATTGGATAGACAAGAATTGTAACACTGCCACAAAACGTTGTCTCTGGTACCATCCTACCTTTCAACAGTCACTGCTACAGCATCATCGATTCTCTTGCTGTAAAGAGTGGCCTAGCTGCTCACCACTGGATCTCTATAAGGTCTGTTTATTGGGGTCTTTATTCTAAACTGAGTCTTTCCAAAGTTACACATTCCCCAAATATTGTGATCTCAAACCGTTCTATCAACACACATTACTTTTTGAAAAATTATTGTTAAGATGGCATTGATAGAGTCTTTGATCTTTATCAATGCTCAAACCTTTTGGTTTCTTCTGTAATTCTCTATTAGCTGAATTTTTGGAAGACTTGACTTTCCGAATAGTTGAAGAGGAAGAAGAAGAGGAGGAGGAGGAGGAGGACTCTTGATTTTCAGAAACAGAATGTTCTATAAATCAAATAAAAAGTTTGATCACACCAACTGATTTAAAACAAAACAAAGCAAGAAGAACTGCTGGTTCATATACAATAAGAAATGATGATAACTGGTCTTCGAGTGTTGTAGTCTTCTGTCACTTTATGAGTAATGCAACTACTTGCTTTTTAAAAGCTGTCAGTTAAAAGCAAGACACCTTAGTTCATCACATATACTAACTTTCTCCTCATTTTCCCACAGCTGCTAAAATTTACACAATCTAATTCTGTGGAAAATAGAGAAAAAATTCATGTTTTTATTTTTTACCAATGAGATTTGCCTCTTCTAAGGAAGACCCATTACTGGGTTTGGTATATAAGGGCTATAAATATCCAAGGGTTTCTATTTGGCTTATATTTTAACTTAAATCAAGCAAACAAAAAATATGAGCCCTTCATGACTCATGAATATTCCTCTGAGGATATTCATATGAATCATCCACCTACAGGTTATTTCTATTAAGAAATCTCCTGTAGTGATGTCTGTCATCTTCCTACCTTCTGTTATTTCCTCTGATTCTACAACTTTCTTAGTCTTCTTTTTTGGTGATTTGGGTGAGCGTTTGGTGGTTGATTTGACGGTATGAGATGCTCCTGGAGGCGGAGGTGCAGTCTTTGGAGGTGGTGATGTGGGATTATGAACTGAGGCCAAGCAAGACAGGTTGATTAACATCTGGTTTAGATTCATCAGCAGTACTAACTGAAAAGCGTGGCTGCACGTGGCTTCCAGAGGAGACACTGATAAATGTCAGTACAGCAATAGCCCAACACAAATAATTCCAAAAATTCTGAGGACACATTGCTATAGTGATTCTCAAACCAGGGAAAATTATGATAGAAAACAGTCTCAGGAGGTCAGCACTCTAAACGCTAGTTGTAGGCTTTTAAGTGTCTGCCTTTTTGACTCTGTTATAGAGGCGAAACTGTTGAACATTTTCCAGTCTGTAAGGTGACATGGGTATTCAACCTTTCTAAGGAGGGATGCCCACCTAAAACAAGTTGTGATTCTTTGTGCCTCATCTGGCTTGCCATCCCACAATTATATAAATGACACTGCTTATGGATGATGGGGAAAATCATGCCTGACTCAACCATGATAATTTTATTTCTGCTGTTTTGTGTGCACTTATGTCAGGGAATACCAGTTTGCCTTGATTTTTACTATAAAAAATTGTGCAAATATATTTTGAAGATTTCACACTTTCACATTACACTTTTCCACAAATGTGTTGCCCTTCCCAAGTTAACACACACATATTTTCGTATATTCCTCCTTTGCCTTTAATTCCCTCCTTCCCTGTTCAATGTCTAAAAGAGGAAGTGCAGAGCATCCCTGGGAACCAGAAGAAAGGAAAGATACTTGAAAGAGAAGAGAACATCAGTGGAGGTGGGGAAGAAAAGAGGTACATACACCCTGCTGCTCACACCAACCCTTCAGATTCCAGGAACCGGGCACTGTACCTCGCCCTCTCTCTCCTCTCCCTTAACAACATGCCAAGTTGAGTAATAGTTCTGCCGGGTACTAGTTAGTGATCGTGGCCAAAAGAGATAAGCTTTCAGGCTTCTCTCTGCCCACATTGGAAGGTGATTGAGTTGATGTGACTCCTGTCAATTCTCAAAAATGTTCTATTTTTGATGGATCCCAATAACAGATATCTATAGCAACCCTGAAACAACTTGGCAGTAAGTTTCAATACTGTTTTAAATGAAGCTCTAAAGGTGAGGATAGCTCTTTTATTTTCAGCTGGGACCCTGACTGTCTTCATGAAATCTGTGAATGAAGCTGCCTTGCATTGTCTCACTTCTCCCCTTTTACCTAAACCCCAGGTATTCTTCAGAAGCACAAAGTGCCATGAGTATTTCAAATGTTCTCTCTGTGGGCCGTCACTCAGTCTTCTTCCCTATCCGTCCTCTGCCAAAATAACTTCTTGGAGTATTTGGGAGGTAGGGTGTTGTTTTGTTTTGTTTTCTTTGGTTCTGGCTTGTCTCATAGCCAAAGTAATTGTTGAGGTACTAAGGAAATATTATCCCCATCAGGATGCCTCCTAAAAGTTGCAGGAATGCTGAGCTCTGGGGTTTTGAAATAAGGGTGTTGTCTCCATTATTTTTAGAATAATTCCTGTAAAAATATTGGAGAGTTAAGAAACAGCCCTCAACTCTGCTGATTAAGTTTCCACCCCACTAAAGAAACAAGAGGCACAACCTAACTAAAACCACAGTCAAATTATACACACAATACTTATCTCAATTTTGCCTTTTACAGGTACGTTTTTTTACAAAGAATGGTTAAGAACAAATACTGGAGAAGAAGGTATTCTATTATTTTACTTTGGGGAAAAAAAAAAAGGATGGAGTGTTGTTAGACCAGGAGTTTATTCCTTCAAGAATTAATGGCCAGAGAAAGTTTCTAAGTGAGACCGTTCCTTTTTAGTGACTTTGTCATTCACCAGCTTTGTGTAGAAACTGCTGAAGGGATGGTAAGGATGGGAAGGAACATATAATAAATTAATTGAGGTAACAACTTTTTAGCAGATTTGTCTGTAAGTTTGGTGACAAGTTAATTTATACAAGGAAGCTAGAAGTGTTCTGCCTTTAAACATATATCCACATATTATGCCTCAAAGCACAGAGCGCTCTAAGGCCAGCTGATTTTGTGAATCCATACCATTAGGTGGGGACAAGTTTTGAACTGTAAAGGAAGCTCCTTGGAAGATAAAAGTGTGAACTCAGCCCACGACCCCCATGCTAGTGAACCAGAGATCTTTGTGTTTCTAGAGCTTTGTGAGGCTCCTGTTGGAAGATGCTCTCCTTTAATCTGCCTTTGTGAAACAAAATTATTATGAAGCAGCTTATATGTTAGTAAAACCAAGACTTCACATGTGTGTTAGCCACCACTGGAGCCAAGGCATGTACTGGGCTGGCTGTGCTGAGCAGCACTGGCTGGCGCCTGCTCCTTACCTTCTTCACAGAAACTCTCGTAATCTGCACAGCACTTGCCATACTTTTTACACTGGGAGTCGCAGTCACACTCCCTCCCTCGTGCGAAGGACTCAAAGCAGCGGCCTTTGCAGGAGAGCTCTGCCCAGGGCAAAACAGACATGATGAGTTATTAGTCACAAAGCAATACTTACGTATCTTGTAGCATTTCTCATCTGACAGCTGACTAGAATCCCAAGGGTGCACTTCTAAGTCTCCTATTTGGAATTCAGAATACACACATCATCCACTACTAAAAACTAACTTTAAAAGGATGATGTCCAAATAGAGACAGCCAAAGTCAGGGAAGAAATTCGATGAGTTGTGGCATCATTCCTTCCCCTCTAAGACACCAAGAGACACCAATGTTGCCTGAGTCTTTACATGCATAGACACAGTAGAAAATGGGGCATATCTATATAGCAACCTGCCCTTAATAGAAGGTCCTTCAACCTCTCCTCACACCACCGATTTATTTCTTTGCAATAAATTTGTAGTAATTGAATCTTCTTATTTTCTAACAGTATATCCCAAGAAACTAGTTGATCGGGCCCCTGTTCAGGCCAAAAATGACTCACAGACACTCTTAAATGACAAACTGGGCAGAGAAAAAAAATTGGAAAGGTTTCAGTTAATCCCATGGCGTGGACTATGATACGAGGCCTGATTGTTCCAGAAAGAACCTTGGTGGGAAGTATAATGACGACCAAGGCCTGCCTGAAATACTTTAATCAACACACAGAATGTACAGCATTATCGTTATTACCTCCACATGCAAATTCGAATGCAAATATAACATCTACAGATTTTTAACTATGGTTTTCATAAACTGAATATTAAATTTGTCTGTGTCTATTACAAAATTGGCTCAAGTCGTGTTCAGTTGGAATACCACTCATACTTCAGAACTGTTGGGCTTTGAAATTCATCATTTAATCCTGCTTTCTCTCTCTCTCTCTCTCTCTTTAAAATATCCTCTTTTGGTAATTTAGAAACACATTTAATACCAAAAGTTCAAATAGCAGATGTAAGTGTTCTGTGCCTGTTGGTCCTTCTGATGAAACTATTTGAAAGGCTCATTCTTTATGCACTCAAAACTCAACTGTTGGTGAAGAAGGATGCCTTCCTTTACTAAGACATTTCACATGCAAGTGGTCAATACATATGTGCAAGTGGCTTCTGTCCACTGCCCCAGTAATGAGAAGCCTTGAAACCATCTCCAGCTACAACGCACTTCAACACTTATGCAAGGGAAGGACAAGACTTAAATGAAGGAGGTGGAAAGGAGGAAGGACAGAGCTGCAAAGAGGTGCAGAAGCAGGCTCGGAAAAGCGGGCTCCACAGACAGCGCCCAGCTCTACATACCTGTAGTGCAGACTTTCTTGAAGTCAGGACAGCACTCCATGTAGTGTTGACAGTTATAGTCACAGTTGCAGGTGGCATCTCTAGAGTACCCTTCCCCACATCTCCCTGCACAGCTTGATACATCTAAAATCACACAATGCTTGGGTAAACACGGCCAAACCACTTAGAACAGGAGCCATCTATTAAGGAGGATGAAGCCGCCAGAGAGGGGGTGGGCCTTACCCACGGGGCAATGCTGGGGATGGTGCACAGTGATGGACATAGCTGATATTTGGGCTAGCCTTGATGTGATCTCAGTCATGTCACTTTACTCTTCCCTAGAATGTGATGTTAAATACACGTTTGAAAGTCAGGCTAAGGGTAATGCTTGCACGAGTGATAATCCTGAGGGAAGGGTGGTGGTATAGCTGCAGATTTTGCTGCTATGGTGATTACTCATGACAATTTTTTGAGCAGTCCTATGCCACACACTGCTAAGGTTATGAAAATGTTTCTAAGAAAGTACTACTAACCCTATCTAAGATGATTATAATGATGACATAGGCCAGGTGAGGATGGCACGTGCCTTTAATCCTAGCACTCAGGAAGCAAAGGCAGGTGTATCTCTGTGAGTTCAAGGCCAGCTTGGTCAGAAAGTTCAAAGGGCTATACAGAGAAACACTGTCTCGGGAAGAGAAATAAAAAAAGATGACAGAAATTTTATTTAATAACTTTCCCAATGACACACAGCTGGTTACTGTGTGTGTGTGTGTGTGTGTGTGTGTGTGTGTGTGTGTGTGTGTGTATAACTGATCAACTAATATATATTCATTTTTTGTATAATCCCTTTACTCTTATCAGCGCCTGATTTGGGATAATCAATTATATAATTATTCTAAATAAATAACTAATTTTGACTAGGAGCTCTCTGTCAATAGGAATAAGAGAGAACTCTTGAAATAGTGTCTCTGTGTGGATATAAGGGTCATGAACTGAGTGTTTGGAGATGAGCAAACAATAATGATGGAATGTAATAATTAGCCTCAAATATTTCTAAGTACCATTTGACCAATAACACTGCAAAATTCTCCCCAAGAGATAATAGCATGAACGTGACAATGGAATCCGCCACTGGAAAGTTCTAATCCATAGAGGGATGTTGAAACACACTGAAAAAAAAATCTCAAGAGAATCCAGGAAAGTTTAAGTGTTAAAACATATATAAACAATAAAGAGTAGGATAACTTTCAGAACTTTTGCTTGCATACATAAGGGCACAATACATACAAAAATGCATATATAGTGTATGTATATAAATACATATATTATATATAAAGGGGAAAGAATGAGAAGAAGTTGAGAAGGCAAGGAAAGCAGACAAAACAACATCGAAAGATTATTTTTTCCACTTATCAGATTTCTAGAACAAATCCACTTGTTTTTTATAGATGGCCTCTTATAGCCTTATGTTTAGTGTGTGTGTGTGTGTGTGTGTGTGTTACATGCATGTGTGCTCCACACGTGGAGGCCAGAGGTGGATGTCTGGTTTCCCCTATCATTTCCACCTTATTTTCTTGGCTAGGATCTCTCACGGCGGCTGGAGCTTGCTGTTGGAGCTAGTCTGCTTGGCCAGTGAGCTCCAGAGTCAGCCTGTCTGGATTCCCAGAGCTAGGGTTGCAGGCAGGGACTGCTGCACCTAGCTTCTCACGTGGGTGCTAGGAATCTGAATCAAGCCCCCTGTGCTTGCGAATCATACAGTTTACCACAAAGCCATCATCTCCCTGATTATTTTTTTTTAATTCAATGAATAAGCATTGTTTCACAAAGAAAAGGAGGGCTTAGCAAACAAACACCCAGTGTTGTGGGTCTTAAAAGCGAATTAGAAAGCCGAAGGGTCTGAGGCAGGAGACTGTGGCCATCATTCCTAACTCGGCGTTTATATTTGGTTTCTGTATTTCTCCACCTTGTCTTATCTAGGTGATTCTGAAACCACGCCGGAGCAAGCCATCATCTCCTGTGTTTAGCCTCAAAGAGTATTTCAGACATGTCTACCACAAATGCCTATTTTAAAAACAAAACTTCACTGTAACAATTATGGATATTGATTTTTCTTCTTTCACACTGTGTGTGTTAAAGGGAGAAGTTGAAGTTACATATTGGTATGACTGAACAACTTAAATCTCACGCTGTATACTCGTTCTGCCGTGGCTATGCTGAGTATACACCAAGGCTCTCTAAATAGGAGCTTGCCTAGGACTGACTCGGAAGGACTGAACTCGCAGTATTACAATAAGAAAGGACATTCAGATTTGAACAAGCCCATAAGAGGCTGCACCGTCCCGACGAGGAAGAAAACATGCTTGAGGCTAATAAAATTCCATTTGAAACACTGTAAATGTATGGTATAATGTGCTATCTACATCAACATGATGCTAAAGTGAATTACTATGATTTATTTGATGTAAAAGTTTGCTTAAATTTGTCAACACATCCAGTTATTTTAAATATGTGGTAGTAACAGAGGTTTATAAAGTGTAAAGCTTTTCTTTATAAATTTCCTCGACCAACATATAAATATTTCCTTACCCTATCAAAGGAATTCTTGTGACTTTATAAATGTTACCTCTTGTGCTTGCTTCAATAACCCATGCACTAGATATAAAATGATACAGAGAAGATTCATCTGCCCTTCTGTCCAAAGAGATGACATGCTAACTTCTGAACTAGTCCAGATTTTAAGGCAAAATATGTACAAAGACAGTATCATAATGAAACCAATTACTTTGTATGCTAACTTGAAATCCTAATAAAACTTTTTTATTTTCAAAATTTTGGTCAACATACAAGCAAAAACTATGTTTTTTGAATATTGCATGCCTTTCATTTCTTCTGGTGGCGTTGTGTAGCTCTGGCATCATTTTATTATGTAAATGTCTGTTTTGGTTTTTTTTTTTTTTAATTTTGGGAAAACCTGAAGGAATAGAGCAGGGACATTATTTTCTAAAAGGCCTCAGAACGCCTTCAAAGTTCTTACGATGCCAGAAGAAAAGATGAGATTTTTTTTTTTGTGTTGCAAGTTGAGGGTTGCCGATTGTTAAACTCATTGACATGCACATGTTAAGGAAGATATTTTTGCTGTTGTTGTCGTGAAAGCCACCTGGGTGCTTAACAATAGTGATTGAATAGGAGCATTTTTGAGGGTGAAGTTACCTTGAGATGAAACTTCTTGAATCAAGAAAACAGGAAGCAGCAACGACAAGCAGATGGGAAGTATTTTCCACCCCATGGTTGTTCTCAGATGCAACACCCTTGCCTGAAACAAAATAAAAGTGTTAGAACCTGCTCTTTAATCTTACCACTAAGCACAGCGTTCAGAAGCTTTCAAGATGTAATTCATTACATAAGGCACTCCATTCTTGGAGCAAAACTTATGAACAATCAGTTTGCATTCCTGAGAAAGTAGTTGTTCTTTTTAATATAAAAAAGAACCAAGCCACCTTAGTTAAATTACCTGCCACTGTAATACCTCAGAATAATAGCAAAAAACAGGCTTATTTTAGAATTCTGTTGGAAGAGTAATCTGTACTCACAGTGCAAGGCTTAGCTCATGTCCTGGAGATAAAACGAGCAGCTTCAATAAAATTGAGTTTAGCAAGAGTAGTGGAGCTGTCCTTCCAACTTTTCCTTAACTCAGTATAAATTCATAGGCTTCCAACAGGTATTTCACATAATTATAATTCTTTTCCAAACTTTCCAACTACTGTCCTTTTTCAAATACATTTAATAAAGACACACTTAACTATACAAAAAGCACATTAACCTCAACACTTACCTGTAAAAGGAAAGATGAATTTCTTCAGCGTGCTGCAAGTCTTATATAGCAGCATAAATGGATTGGGATGAACCAGTTAGTCCAAAGGTTAGGCAAAATCAACAGTGACAACCTATGAAATCAAGCTTTCCTCATTTGTTGGACGGAAGCCCAGATGACTAGACTTAGGCAACATCTGGAAAACACTTCCATTAAGAAAAATGACTACTACAAAATAAAGTTAGATTTATTGGCCAAAACACATTTGTAATTTCTAACTGAAGTGAACAAATTGTCCTGAGATGGTAAATCACTCTGGAAGCCTTTGACTAGCGTGCAAAGCAACAACTCTAAAATCCTCAGGCTAGTACCATTTCTTCTTTTATTGCCAGTTAAATCCAGTAAAGGTGCATCTGACACATCTCCTATAGCTTGGGATGAAAAAGATCATGAACTTATAGCAATAATGTAACATGATGCTGCTTCCTCCTCCTCCTTTTCATTTTCTTCTTCCTTCTTTGAATTCTCATTTTTATAGAATATACACACACGCACAAAATGCTCTCAATTCATCTTAAGGTAAAATGCCCACACTGCGGGGTTTCAGGCTTCATTACCATGAAAAGGCTTGCATTAAGACACTATTGAAAATCTGGCACAGTGGTTCCTGCTGTAGACCCGTCTACTCTTCCTGGAGGCTGAGGCAAGAGGATCACAAGCCTAGGCATTGGAAACCAGACTGAACATCATAGTTGGACTCTGTCTCAAAATATATATATATATAATAAAACTGTATTGATAGTTCCCATGGTCATTTTATTAAAAAAGGTCTTTTAAGTTCTTAGTGTAGTTCCCTGCCTGAGGAAGTGTAAATCATCAACCTTTTAGAGCAACTGGAAGTTTTACTGCTTTTTCATATGAAATGTTCTTGTTCAAATCTCACTTAAGATATCTTCTTTGTCTCAGCACCTTCCTAAAATTTGCCCATGTCAACCCAAGTTACATATGGGATTATAGTCAACAAATGTACTGCATTGTATTGGTATTATCTGTTCATTTGTTTCTGAACACCAAGAGAATATATTTTTTAAGAATATATTTTAATTTTACTGCTAATGTACAATTTAGTGCTTCACCAAGACTGTGTGTACAAAGGATGTTTGGGGAGATGAACTGTTATGGCCTGAATCTTGTTGTCTATTATATATGTAGTAGATGTTGCATTTAGTTATCACACAATGGCTTTAAGTAGAAATATCATCATCTACACTTGATAAATAAGATAAAAATGGTAAATGAAGAATGTACCGCCATCCTAAGAACCAAGATTCAAACCCATGACTTTGCATTCAAGTTCCATCCTCTTTTTCCAGTATTCCACTCTTGAGAAAATCCATCACTTCAGTACATGGCCACTGTGTTATATTTTAATACTTTACATTTACATATACTATTGCTCTGGTGAATATGTAAAGACAACATAGAGGCCATCTGCTCAGCTTTCTTCTGACAACGCTATCAAGCCGTAGAGTTATTTCCCTTTAGCTTCACTCATACGGGTGACCTGGCCTCATCAGTCACAGTTGCTAAGACTCAGAGGAGAAATTTGAACCCCACTGGATCAGTGTTTCTTTCTCATGGAGATTTGAACTTAAGATGCAGAGATTACAAGTTTTGCTCCCCATAGAGATCTGTGAGATGTAGATTTCTGCTCATGCTTTAAGGAAAGTTTTTTCAGACAAAGATGATGCAAATGAATGAAGCAACTACAGGGAAATATTTCCAGAAACCTAGGTCCTGAAGGTTTCCTACTCTTTAGACTCAACTTTTTGTTATATACATATTTATGGTACATTTTTCCTTAGGAGCTGAGGGTAAGGAAGGTCTTTGCTAGTTTAAATTGTTAATAAATTAATATCATGAATATAAAAGGCCTGTTGGATGGAATTGGCCTGAAATATCTTGGTTCTTAGACTTACCATAGTCAATAAAAGGAAGCAAAAATAAGATCTATCTTATGCTCTGATTTTATGCTTTTTAAACTATCTGTATTATAATATTCTTTCTTTATAAGAATCAAATAGAGCACAAGAAAGCCAGGGAAAGACATCATGTGTTCTGCTCAATCCCCCCGCCTTATTCCCTTGAGACGGATCTCTCTCATTGAACATGGAGCTTGACTGTATGCCAGCAAGCCCCAGAGACTCTTCTCTTTCTGTAGAACCAAGGTTACAAGTTCACCGATGATCAAGCTCAGCTTTTCGGTGGACATTGGCAGTTGAAATTAGGTCCTCCAGTTAATATGGCAAATGTTCCCACCCATTACAGTATCTCTAAAGCCCCAGCAAATGATGTTTTAAAATTAATCAAATACTATGTATGTATTCTTAAGTTCAAGTTCTAAGCTTCTGATCAAGAAAACATATACACACACATGCATAACTAGGGTAAAATATAACTTTAAATATATCCATTAATGTATTGTCTTTTGCCACCTTAGTTTTCTATATGTGTCAAAAGGAATAAGAAACTATTAAATGCCAAGATTAGATTTATCTCACTCTATTTACCTTCAATTCAACTAATTTTACTGGATAATGAGGCTATCTGGGTGAAGTTTACCCTTGGAGTGGGGAAACATTTTTATCTATCAGCTGTGTTTTTAGATTCTGCAAGCTCTGGCCCATTTAGCCATCTTTCTTACACAGCAGTTGTCCTATTGCATTATGGGACTTCCCTTTGGGATTTCATTTCTTATTAAAAAACATTTTGGTCATGTTCATTTCAATCTCATTTAACTGGAATACAAGTTACCTCCGGATTGGTTTTTGATGTGGAAGGAAGGCTAAGAAGAGGGGAGTAAAGAGCAACCAGGAGAACATGTATGACACTTAATCATGTCCCACCCCCGCGGGCTACTTTCCACACGGGAAGCCTTCTGAGCATCGGTTTCTGTACTTGCAGGAAGGAGCACGGTGACACCCTCTGAAAACACTCAGGGTTAGATGATCTTCAAACACGCTGCAAGTCTCGTTCTGTAGCCCTTCTATTTGGTCTGTTATGCCTTCATCCCTGATGTTAGCTGTCACCTTGTCCTGCAGCCAGCCTGTCTGCACCTCATGGCTTCCCTCCACCTTTCCACATCTTTGATGTGATTCCTTTCAGCAGCAGCCTAGGAAAAACTGGAGCATGCCAGGGGGAAAATTACAGATGCAAGCTTGTTCTGCACTGCCACATTTTGTATCTGATGCTAGATGAATTAGTGTCTCCCCGAGGTGAAGTAACTCCTCCCCTCCCGGATGGAGTGGAGATTCACATTTTGGAACTGCTTCTGTCTATTCTGTTTAAGGCTCCACCACACACTAGAAAGCAAAGTGTGTGAGTGTGAGTGTGTGTGTGTGTGTGTGTGTGTGCATACACGAGTGTTTTCCTGGATATGTGACCTAAAGTCTAACCATTAGCTCAGTAAAATTTACTAAGTTTGTTTTGGAGATCGTGCTCTCGGACCTTTCCATCTTTTCCAGCAGTACCTAGAGATCAGATCCCAACTTCCCATTCCGGTAGTTGGTGTTTTCTTTGATAAAATACCAATGGAAATGATTTGCATAATAGCCATCTGTTTCCTAATAAGAAGTTGCTTGAACAGCTTCCTTTTTTTTTCTCTCTCTCTTCTTCCATGTTAGATGACAGACACCAGAGACCAGGCTGTGACCATGAAAAAAAAAAAAAAAAAAAAAGCAGTCAGTGGTCTATGGGGGAGCTATCTATCTAATAGCATGTATCAAATTACATGCTATCTAATTTGCTGCAGAATCCATTTTATTTGAATAAATTTAATTGAAGGTGCTCCTAAAACAATGTTCTATCCCAGCATTTGCAAAAATTATATCCTAAAAATTAGATTTGTATTCTATACAACAATGTTAAAGAATGAATGTCTGGTGACAAAGAGCTGGCACAGAAGATGGTGATATAAACTGTTGAAGAGGACATGATTGCACGTGTAGAAGATGCTAGGAATCCATGAGAACTTGTGAAAACTAATGAGAAAGCTCAGCAAGGTCACAAGACGTAAGGACGAGACCCATGCTGAAGTCTTCCTGACGAGTTACCCGATGTGCATATATAAAAATAACTGAGCTTTCTAGAAATAGTCTGTGCATTGAATTAGTTGATTTATTCATTTTTTCTCTTTTTCTTTCACATTTTAAAAAATGATTTCTTCCTCATTTTGGATGAGGGTTTTGCTTGCATGTATGTCTGTGCACCGTGAGGATGCCTGGTGGAGAGGGAGGTCAGGAGAGGGCACCAGAGCCCCTGGAACTGGAGTTTCGGGAGGTTGTGAGCTGCCCTGTGGTGCTAAAAGTAAACCTGGGTCTTCTGCCAGAGCAGTAAGTGCTCCTAAGCACCGAGCCATCTCTCTAACCCTCTCATGTTTTATTTTTGTGAGAACAGGTCTCATTCTGTAGCTCACACTCACCTAAGCCAGACATATAGTACCAGACTGGTCTTGAACTTGCAGTGATCCTGCTGTCTGTTTTCAAAGCACTGAAATCAAAGGCATCTGGCTTCACTTACTCAGTTTTGATGAACAATTATCAAGTAGTGAATTACACATGCCAGCCCCAGGATTAGTTACCAGAGAGACATTTGGGTGTGAGAGGAAACCTCTGGTTTCCAGGAGCTCTTGGACAGGTCAGAAGTAAATAAACAGTTCAAATACTTTGGCTGGACAAGACTGTGTCTAACAGCTCACATGGGCTTTGGCATAGGTAAAATCATTGTCCATATCTCAGTTACAAAATTAAATTCCCTACACTCCTCTGACTTGTCTTTACCTCAGTTTCCTAGTCTTTGTGCAAAAGGATTGCAATAATTTCCATTATTGTTTGGCACTGTAGAGTCACATAAAAGACGAGACAGAATTACACTAACTGTGTGATGGATATATTTAATAAAGTATTTTGTGTGGTTATAATTATTATTCTAGAATCTCACACAGCTGCTATGGAAACACAAGTACCAACTCCACCTGAGGAGTTCCTCACAGGTAACAGACATGTAAATCGGAGTATGAAGGCTC